TCACACTCCAACAGCACGTCAAGTATTAAAAACCATTTGTCTCCATTTACTCCTATCAAACACGCTCATGCATGCCTGCTGGAAGTCCAAGCCCCTCGCACACAAAACCTCCTTTACCCCCTCCCTCCAACCTTTCCTAGGCCGACCCCTACCCCGCCTTCCTTCCACTACAGACTGATACACTCTTGAAGCCATTCTGTTTCGCTCCATTCTCTCTATATGTCCGAACCACCTGAACAACCTTTCCTCAGCCCTCTGGACAACAGTTTTGGTAATCCCGCACCTCCTCCTAACTTCCAAACTACGAATTCTCTGCATTATATTCACACCACACATTGCTCTCAGACATGACATCTCCACTGCCTCCAGCCTTCTTCTCGCTGCAACATTCATCACCCATGCTTCACACCCATATAAGAGCGTTGGTAAAACTATACTCTCATACATTCCCCTCTTTGCCTCCATATATATATATATAATATATATATATATATATATATATATATATATATATATATATATAAATAATTTGCAAAAGGGGTGAACTTTTAACGAACATTATCTCTCAATCCACAGCAGGATTTGAACCTGCACAAACTATCAAAGAACACAACATTTTCGCCACCCAGACAGATCAATGAGGAAAAGAGATGGAACATTCTCATAGTGATGGAATATTTCAGCAGTGATGAAATATCCCAGCAATGATGGAATATTTTGGCAGTGATGGAATATTTCAGTGATGATGGAATATTTCAGTAGTCAAGGAATATTTCAGCACTGAGATAACATGTAGGCTACACACGTATCACTCATGTTGAGAATATAGGCTACACATCATGGTGGGAGTGTAGGCTACACATCATGGTGGGAGTGTAGGCTACACATCATGGTGGGAGTGTAGGCTACACATCATGGTGGGAGTGTAGGCTACACATCATGGTGGGAGTGTAGGCTACACATCATGGTGGGAGTGCAAGCTACACATCATGGTGGGAGTGTAGGCTACACATCATGGTGGGAGTGTAGGCTACACATCATGGTGGGAGTGTAGGCTACACATCATGGTGGGAGTGTAGGCTACACATGCTGGGAGTGTAAACTACACATCATGGTGGGAGTGTAGGCTACACATCATGGTGGGAGTGTAGGCTACACATCATGGTGGGAGTATAAGCTACACATCATGGTGGGAGTGTAGGCTACACATCATGGTGGGAGTGTAGGCTACACATCATGGTGGGAGTGTAGGCTACACATCATGGTGGGAGTGTAGGCTAAACATCATGATGGGAGTGTAGGCTACACATCATGGTGGGAGTGTAGGCTACACATCATGGTGGGAGTGTAGGCTACACATCATGGTGGGAGTGTAAGCTACACATCATGGTGGGAGTGTAGGCTACACATCATGGTGGGAGTGTAGGCTACACATCATGGTGGTAGTGTAGGCTAAACATCATGGTGGGAGTGTAGGCTAAACATCATGGTGGGAGTGTAGGCTACACATCATGGTGGTAGTGTAGGCTAAACATCATGGTGGGAGTGTAGAATACACATCATGGTGGGTGTAAGCTACACATTATGGTGGGAGTGTAGAATACACATCATGGTGGGAGTGTAAGCTACACATCATGGTGGGAGTGTAAGCTACACATTATGGTGGGAGTGTAAGCTACACATTATGGTGGGAGTGTAAGCTACACATCATGGTGGGAGTGTAAGCTACACATCATGGTGGGAGTGTAAGCTACACATCATGGTGGGAGTGTAAGCTACACATTATGGTGGGAGTGTAAGCTACACATCATGGTGGGAGTGTAAGCTACACATCATGGTGGGAGTGTAAGCTACACATTATGGTGGGAGTGTAAGCTACACATTATGGTGGGAGTGTAAGCTACACATTATGGTGGAAGTGTATGCTACACATCATGGTGGGAGTGTAAGCTACACATTATGGTGGGAGTGTAAGCTACACATCATGGTGGGAGTGTAGAATACACATCATGGTGGGAGTGTACACTACACATTATGGTGGGAGTGTAGAATACACATCATGGTGGGAGTGTACGCTACACATTATGGTGGGAGTGTAAGCTACACATTATGGTGGGAGTGTAAGCTACACATCATGGTGGGAGTGTAGAATACACATCATGGTGGGAGTGTAAGCTACACATTATGGTGGGAGTGTAAGCTACACATTATGATGGGAGTGTAAGCTACACATTATGATGGGAGTGTAGGCTACACATTATGATGGGAGTGTAAGCTACACATTATGATGGGAGTGTAAGCTACACATTATGATGGGAGTGTAAGCTACACATTATGATGGAGTGTAAGCTACACATTATGATGGGAGTGTAGGCTACACATTATGATGGGAGTGTAAGCTACACATTATGATGGGAGTGTAAGCTACACATTATGATGGGAGTGTAAGCTACACATTATGATGGGAGTGTAAGCTACACATTATGATGGGAGTGTAAGCTACACATTATGATGGGAGTGTAGGCTACACATCATGATGGGAGTGTAAGCTACACATTATGATGGGAGTGTAAGCTACACATTATGATGGGAGTGTAAGCTACACATTATGATGGGAGTGTAAGCTACACATTATGATGGGAGTGTAAGCTACACATTATGATGGGAGTGTAAGCTACACATTATGATGGGAGTGTAAGCTACACATTATGATGGGAGTGTAAGCTACACATTATGATGGGAGTGTAAGCTACACATTATGTGGGTGTAAGCTACACATATGTGGGTGTAAGCTACACATTATGATGGAGGTAAGCACAATATGATGGGAGTGTAAGCTACACATTATGATGGGAGTGTAAGCTACACATTATGATGGGAGTGTAAGCTACACATTATGATGGGAGTAAGTACCATATAAGATACACATTATGATGGGAGTGTAAGCTACACATTATGATGGGAGTGTAAGCTACACATTATGATGGGAGTGTAAGCTACACATTATGATGGGAGTGTAAGCTACACATTATGGTGGAAGTGTAAGCTACACATCATGGTGGGAGTGTAGAATACACATCATGGTGGGAGTGTAAGCTACACATTATGATGGGAGTGTAAGCTACACATTATGATGGGAGTGTAGGCTACACATTATGATGGGAGTGTAGGCTACACATTATGATGGGAGTGTAAGCTACACATTATGATGGGAGTGTAAGCTACACATTATGATGGGAGTGTATGCTACACGTTATGGTGGGAGTGTAAGCTACACATCATGGTGGGAGTGTAGAATACACATCATGGTGGGAGTGTAAGCTACACATTATGGTGGGAGTGTAAGCTACACATTATGGTGGGAGTGTAAGCTACACATTATGATGGGAGTGTAGGCTACATCTTATAGTAATCAGAACAACAAAGTTATCAGTATGTTTTTAAACTACCACATGATATGGGTCGAGAATGGGGGGAGGATGTGAGGGGAAACCCTGAACATGGGTGACAGCTGTAAGAGAAACCCTGAACATGGGTGGTGTGGAAGAAAACCCTGAATTTGGGTGGAGGGTGTGGGAGAAACCCTGAACATGGGTGGTGTGGGAGAAACTCAAAACATGGGTGGAGGGTGTGGGAGAAAACTCTGAAGATGGGTGGAGGGTGTGGAATAAACCCTGAACATGGGAGGAGGTGTTGAAAACTGCGAGAGAAGTCGTAATAAAAACATCATTCACTAATATGCAAAGCGTAAGTCACATAGAATTCCCTATGTGATGCAGCTGCAGTTATTACTGCAGTAAAAACTAATAAAAGAGAGACGGTATTGTTAGTTTGGGATTGTTTACCATACGTCTGTGTGATGCTACACCGCCCTGCGGGGAGAAGACAGTGTCATAATGCTCAGATTGACTTTATAATAAATATTCCTTACCCATGATGATTAGTGTTTAAGTTAGTAAGTGTGAGAGACGCTAGGTAAGTGTGAGGGATGCTAGGTAAGTGTGAGGGATGCTAGGTAAGTGTGAGGGATGCTAGGTAAGTGTGAGGATGCAGGTAAGTGTAGGAGTGTGAGGGATGCTAGGTAAGTGTGAGGGATGCTAGGTAAGTGTGAGGGATGCTAGGTAAGTGTGAGGGATGCTAGGTAAGTGTGAGGGATGGTGTGAGGGATGCTAGGTAAGTGTGAGGGATGCTAGGTAAGTGTGAGGGATGCTAGGTAAGTGTGAGGGATGCTAGGTAAGTGTGAGGGATGCTAGGTAAGTGTGAGGGATGCTAGGTAAGTGTGAGGGATGCTAGGTAAGTGTGAGGGATGCTAGGTAAGTGTGAGGGATGCTAGGTAAGTGTGAGGGATGCTAGGTAAGTGTCAGGGATGCTAGGTAAGTGTGAGGGATGCTAAGTAACTGTGAGGGATGGTAAGTGTGAGGGATGCTAGGTAAGTGTGAGGGATGCTAAGTGTGAGGGATGGTGAGTGTGAGGGATGCAGGTAAGTGTGAGGATGCTAGGTAAGTGTAAGGGATGCTAGGTAAGTGTGAGGGATGCTAGGTAAGTGTGAGGGATGCTAAGTGTGAGGGATGGTGAGTGTGAGGGATGCTAGGTAAGTGTGAGGGATGCTAGGTAAGTGTAAGGGATGCTAGGTAAGTGTGAGGGATGCTAGGTAAGTGTGAGGGATGCTAGGTAAGTGTGAGGGATGCTAGGTAAGTGTGAGGGATGGTAAGTGTGAGGGATGCTAGGTAAGTGTGAGGGATGGTAAGTGTGAGGGATGCTAGGTAAGTGTGAGGGATGACAAGTGTGAGATATGCTAGGTAAGTGTGAGGGATGCTAGGTAAGTGTGAGGATGCTAGGTAAGTGTGAGGGATGCTAGGTAAGTATGAGGGATGCTAGGTAAGTGTGAGGGATGCTAGGTAAGTGTGAGGGATGGTAGGTAGTGTGAGGGATGCTAGGTAAGTGTGAGGGATGCTAGGTAAGTGTGAGGGATGCTAGGTAAGTGTGAGGGATGCTAATTA